CTTTGACAAAGAATAAATAACCGATTCACAAATAACGTGTGACAACTTCACAAACTGATTTCAAAAAGTTTCATAATTTATATTGCTTTGTATATCCGTGTGCGGAATTCATCGCACATTCGAGTGTATAAATTTGAACATTTTCGCTTTCACACTTTTTTTTTGCACCCAAAGCGTGTGTTATGCAAATTGAGTGCAGCTGTTATCTCTTCGGCAGCCGCAAAAGAAAAAATAAATATAAATAAAGAAAATAAAAGGGAAGCGGGTGAAAACAGATAATGCATGATAAATGTGTGTAGTCCCCATATGCAAACACCCACACCTCACCCAAGTCAATGGCCACCAGATGACAATCGGGATAAAGAATCCTCCTCCTCACACTTTCTTGACAACATAAAGCGTCTTTTAACAGCCTGTGCTCCCCATTCAGGGCGCCCTCTTTATATGCAAATTTGCGAAAGGGTTAACTTTTGACTGAAGGTCAGTTGGCATTTTGTTCGACTTTTCCACAGTATATAATAGATTGTATATCATTTTTCTCCCATTCGGTTCTGTTCATTTTTAACGACAGAATTGATTGACATTTTGCACCCTCGAGGCGGCTGTATTCAATATTCCGAATAAACCGAAACCGAAAGATGAGTTTGTGTTGATAAACCCTTTAAGCCATTTTTACTTGATTGTTCTGCGGCAGAGAGAAACATAGGACTGTGGAGAGCAGATGGAAAATTATAGTTTATTTGGTCGGCTGTAGAAAAATTGTATCATATATTAAGATAAAACCTAAAAAAGTTATGGCATTTTTAATTATATGTGAAGTTTAGTTAATTTATTATAAGTAAATAACACAATCTTGTGATTTAATGGGATTTGAGATAGAAAAATTAAAAAGCGATTCGTTTACCCCTTATAAAAGATCCCATTTTAAATAGTCGTTTTAAAAAGTAATATCACAATGGCAATTTATCTAACTCGCGACTGTGAACTACTTTAAAGGAAATCGTCTATATATATCAATAACTCTGTTATTCCGCACTTGTCCAGCATTCATTTAGCAATGGTCATTTCCTTTCTAAGCCCATAAACCAGGCCAGGGAACCGGGCCCAGAACCGACTCGAACAGAAACCAAGGGCGAGGTGGACCACCTGTAAGCCGCTTGCCAATCGCTGACAGCCAACGCTTAACGTGAAAATCCCCTAAATCGCTCCTGCTGCAAACGAGTTTCGCCCTGGATCTGGCTTTAGCTTTGCCCCGGTGTCCGCATCTGTATTTGTATCTGTATTTGTATCTGTATCTGTGGCTGCCTCTGACCGGAACCCAATTGAATCGAGTCGCTCCTTTGGCGGACTTGAGGCTGCGCCGTTTGGCTTCCTGTTGCCATCGACAGAGAGGTAAACAAAAATGTTTTCATGGACACAACTAGGGGCATTAAGCTTACCTTACCAGAGGTAGCGGCGGTGTGGGGCAGATATCTAACTCTCTCTGGGGTATCATTAGCCCAGGTGGTTATAAATACTGTCTTCGTTGTTATTTGTTGGTCAGCCGCTAGCTAACCAATTGGTGAGTAATGTGCTTAGCCAGATTAATAGACCAGGGGCGACCCAGCTGCCTCACCAGTCGATTATAATATCTTATTGATGAATTTTGGCATAGTACAATTAAAACAACTATGTTTGTAACAGAAAATATTTAAGCTGCGAAATGTTTGGCTTCAAATTGTATAGCTTTTAGTACGAAACAGATTCTCTATTTACCCGATATTCCGAAATATTTTTGTAAACTACGCCAGGGAATTTCTAATTACATGCAACTTTTCGTTGAGCACCGAAATGGAAATCGGTAAATGAGAATTGTGAAACGGCTAAAACGAAATGAAATCATCAACAAAAGCATAATTCAATTTTACGGCCCGTTGAACGCACTAATGAATTATCACACAGAGTTCGATAGGACATAGTCATGGATTTATACAACTTGTATGCACACATCTAGATATTTAGATGGGCCATGGAAATCGCAAATAGTTTTGCTGTTTTTATTGCATTTCCATTACATTTTGGATTTTGTTTTTTTGCCCAATTCTGTATGCTGTTTGTCTGCGTGCGATGGTTCTTTGCCCGCTTATTTCGTTGTCGGTATTTTTCGCTTTCTATTTTTCCTTCACTTAATGAGTAATTTGATGCCAGACTGACAAAATATTTTGAAAATTCGATAAACTAGACGGCAAAATCTCGTTACATCTCAAGCCAAAAAAAAAAAATTAAGAGAAACAACATATGCTGGAATTCTTTTCAACAACCGCCATATTGCGATGGCTGAAAATTTCAAAGTCTCTCATTTAAAATTCAAAAGTAAACCAAATTTGTAAAGGCACAAAGACTTATACACTTTTTTATTAATTTTAATTTATACGTTCTTTTTAAAAACCATTTTTTTGTTATAAAACACACTTTAAAAAAAAATAAATGTGGAATTTTTTTTTAACAAGTTAATGAGTCACAAACATCCTTACAAAATGTAAATACTTTTCCTTTACATATATGTTAGAAAGACCAAAAAGTCCGCAAAAAGTTTTAAACAAGTAATTGAGGTTGAAAACAATCTGATATGAGCGTACCAAGGTTATTACTTTGCAGACGAGAGACAGATAATAAGCTGAAAAATAAGGAGAAAAACACGAGAATGGGTAAAACGTGTTAAAGGTTGTCTCCTAGTTGGTTGTAGTTTTTTTAACTGTTTTATGAAATTTTTAGCCGATTTTAATTTTGGTGCAGCATTAGAACGTACTTGCAATCACTAATTAAAAAAAATTTGTATGTTTTTAAATTTTTATTAAAAGTATTTGTGTAATTTATTGTCCTGGCGTTGCTTTCAATTCATCAATTCAACTATTGTTTATTCGAAATTTAATTGTTATACATCCTACTCTCTCACATTGGCCCGACTAATCATTTACATTTAAATTCACATTTCAGCTGAAATAATTGATGAGATACTGTTACTCTCTGGCTCCGTCCCTGTCTCATCCTATTTTTTCTTATACAAATTGTTAGTATTAATTCAATTATAAATGTTATGCATTTTCAAATAAGAATAACAATATAATAACAAATGCAATTTCTGTTAGTCATTTTTGTTAGTCTTCTTCAAATTAAGCTACTTTAAAGCTGTCTCGTCCCGAGAGGCCTAAAAAATGTTTAACGCAACATTTAACCAACGGATGTGCCCACCACACCATCAACTCAATGCCAGTATAACCCAAAAAAAGGGCATAAAAGTCCAATTTGGGGAAGGGATGAAAAAAGGGTAACTGAAAAGGCCAAAAAGCAGCTTTGATGTTATTGCCGCAAATTAGCTAGAAATCTTTTGCCTACAGGTCAGCGTTTGCCCATTCCCATTCGACTTGCCCTTATTCTGCCCAGGTTATTTTGGGCTTCAGTTTAGCCGATTATTTTTACGTACACCTGTGCGTAACAAATAGAAATTTGCCGAGAAAATAATTTAACTTCAATTGAGTGCGAGCATGTGGAGAATTTCAAGTATACCATAACCCGCTTCACAAATAGAAAAAGCACAACACATATAAAATAAAATACAAAGTTTTTGAGTCTCCGACTTTGGCAGAGTCCAAGCTCAAGTTAAAGCGGATTCCCATTTTGCTTGCCCATATTTTTGGCTCTGCCTTTGGGGAAGAGAAACAGCACATTTTTGCTGCATCAATAGTTCAAATACTATTTTATGCTTAGTTGATTATTGACTGCAAGTGGAAATTTACTTTTGCTTCATCGAGAAAGGACGAGGAAGACCGAGAGAATGTCTTTTTTGGGTTAAGTCTGGCATAACGTTAAAAATTGGCAGACGAAAGAATCTTGTTTGTTTTTCAACTTACACGGAAATTGTATTTTTGCTCGGCAAAAAAATATAAAAAAAAGTGCAAAACTGGCAAAACTTGAAAACAAATTGTGAGTGTCCATACATATAGCGTGCCTTTTTGGTACGATTTATCTATACATCTAAGCTTTTTATTTTTTTTGTAAACCTTCGTGTTTTGTTAAATCAGATTTATTCCCGTTTCATACTTTTTCTATTCTGTGTTTCAGCATTGTCAAGAATGCTTCGTAGTTATATGATAGACTGTTTGTTATGACATTTTTTATTTTCAATAACCAGTTTTTAATTTTAGATATGCTCTAACGATTTTAAGTTTCTATGGTATTCTCTTATTGGCTGCTCTTGTAACGAAACGTAATGAGAAGGAGTTTGCGTAACTTTAATCAAAATACAGCCATGTAAGGTAGCTTTGTGTAACTTATGTTTGGGCTTTACTCGATCCGATTCGAGTTATGTCCTTGTCTTCTCCCAGTTGTTTTCTAACAAAGCGAATCGCATTTGCGCTGCAGTCAAGTGCACCGCCACAGTATCCTGCACTTTTGTGGCCAGTGTGCAATGCTCTTTCCTTGCCATTCTATTCAAGCCTTTTCCATTCCATCCCTAACTAACCCACACTTCAAACTCTCGCTTTCAATGCGCTCTCCATGGAAATGCTGTTGCCGTACAATCTGGGTTAACGAAGGTTCTTAGAATGACGATTTTGTGGGTCGCAAAAAAAAATCAAGAAAATAGGACTCTTTGGATGGCCTTCCATTCCATTCCACTTTTTTAATTTTGGTTTTGTTGAGAGAGTGAAAATATATTAATTTTAAGTTATAGTGTTCTTTATTATAAGATTTGCAATATGTGTTTGATTATATTGACTTTGCAGTTAAAATGTAATACTTAGTAATGAGACAAAAATCTAGTTTTAATTAATCAAACAATTAAGTTATTGGTCACGATTAAATTAACTTTACTCTTTATTATTAATATATACGTAACACATATATAGTTCGTTGGAATGCAAGCTGATAAGATCCTGAGCACACATTTCTGAGAAGAGATAACGCTTTGCTCGGTATAAAGTCGTCATATGATTCGATGCAAGTCAATCGTAGCTCTGAGTTTCACAGAACATCATGTCACTGCACTGGGCATTGGAAGTTACTCTTGTGAGCTGCGTTATTTTTGGTACCGTCGATGCTGGATCATATTGTGGACAAAACAGAATGTTTGCGTGTGTACCTACTCGTTTTTGTTCCGAAAGTCGCGGCATACCATCAAATTACAATAAGCAGTGCTTCTCATTCGAAACTTGCTGTGATCTCAATAAAGTAAGTCCAAAGGAATATTTTTTCTACTTCGTAATATTTATGTATTTGCAGATCATTTTTGGGAAGCGTTACAGTGGAGGACAATTCCTGCCAGGTCCATACGATCAAAGTGTTTATACCAGTGAGCTTCCCAATAACACAGGTGGAAAAACATCAACCACAGTAGGGGAAAAATCTGTTACAGTTAATAGTAACAATCGTAATAATACAGGAAAAACTGCTACCACTTATAATCCAGGTCAGACTGCCTCGGCAAATAGTCAAATTCACAATAATTCGAAAGTACTGTTAAAGCAAGCCCTGTATTGACTAATACTCAAGGTTATATTAGTTTAAAATATTTTAGAATAAAATGTTCAATAAAGATATCCGTTACTCTGTTTACTAATTTCAAAATAAATATGTTTCAGCAGATAGTGCAGATGGTAATTTAAATTTGTTAAAGTTAATTTCTCATAAACTTACTTTTGATATAATTCGATTGCTATTTACATAATAATTAAAATCCTTTTCCTAGTTTACTACAGTAAAAATATTTTATTGAAACTCTCACATAAAATAATATATACTTATATTAACTAAAATAATCCAACTCAACTCAACACAAAAAAAGGCGGCACAAATCTTTTAATCTATTGGGGAAAGTGAAAGAAAGGTCTTGGAAAGAGAGGGAAAGTGATGGAGAGAAGGGACAGCTAGACCGCTGCAGCTGTCACCATTGACAGGAAGTCAAAAGTTGGCATCCCCCAAAAGCGGAACTGAAACTGACAGCAACAAAAACACTCACAGAGGCGCCGCAAGGACAGTCGATAAGAAAATCGTGGCACAACAAAAAATAAAAGACACAAATCTGAAAAAAAACGACAAAATTTGATTCTACAGACAACTAAAATATTTTTTACCCCATCCTTCGTAACCATCGAACCTAAGCCAGATGCTGAAAGCAAAAAAATCAAAATTTAATATAAAAAGGAAAAACGGAAAATAGGGGAAAGAAAATAAAAGGACCTTCCGAGTGCGTTTTCCAGCTGTTTCCCTTCGACAGGAATTTGTCACTGCTCCGTCTCATTCTTTCTCTGTCGCATTCTAAGCTTGTTTGCATGTGTTTCTCTGTCTGTTTGTGGTTCGTCCTTCCTCTGTTTTTATTATTGTTTTCAACAGGAAATTCGTTTCCGTTGTTGTTTTGTTTTCTCCGTATTTTGGTTACAAGTTTTTCTCCATTTTTCAATTCCTTCGACTGTCTGCGGCTGATTGGGAAAATCGCCAGACCTAAAGAGGAAAATCTTTGAAGAGACTTTAAAGTAAATGCATTAGCTTACCTTAACTAAAATTAATCAAATTTTCTCTCTTATAAGCGTTTTCTAAATCCTATTAAAAGCTTATAAGTAATTGCAGTAAATAAGTTTGTAAAAGAAATCTAAACCAAACCCTTGACAAAAATGCATATATATATATATTTGTTAAGAAATGCTTACATTTTAATCTTATAAATCTTTCAAATTATTTTATATATACATAAGTCAGCCTTGCCTTCAATTAAACCAATTTATTTTTGGTCAACTTATTTAACAAAATGCCGGTAAAAAAGAGAAAGCCGCTGTGAGGCAGAATCTCAAGCTCATTAATTTAACTTACCGAAAAAAGGAAAGAAAGTGTGTGTTGGTTGGGGAAATTCAGGCCAAGCAATACAGAGATAGAAGACCAGAAACAGGATGTGCGGCCAGGTAAGAGAGAAGGCGAAAACAGCACGAAGAAAAAGTAGCACGGAAGCGGATTTTCATTCAAGGTAAAAGCAATCAATCAATATTCATGAAATCAGATTTAATTTTAAGCGCATTTAAGTTGCCAGCCAGAGAAGGACGCCACCACCTCCTCCTTTTCCCCATCCTCCCACAACGCCCACAAATTTCTTCTTGGTAATGATTCAGCATGAAATTTCGGGTGACTGAAGAAAGGCAAGAAACAACAAAATCAGCAGCAGCAGCAACGGCAAAAGCAAAAGCAACAAAAGAAAATCAGTAAAATGAAACGTTGTCGACGTCAAAGCAAATGAAACTGAAGATGAGGCCAGAGAGAAATTTCGGACGAACATCATTAGAAAGTTACTGGATTTTGGTCGGAGCTGGGTGGCTATATATATCCGACCTTGCTAATTGTATGACAACAGACGGGGGAGTTGGAAGGTGGGTGGCACCTGAGCATGGCCACCTTTCCTCCCCTCAAGTAGCTGCGCGCATAAAACTAAGCTGCCAATTCAATTTCGTAATCAGAGTGGCATGAAAAATTAAATAAAACATGCAAATAAAATTATTACGCATAATTTGTGTTCACAGGGGAGATGAAGGGCTCAAGGTTGATTTGGGTTGGCAACACGATTTTCGCGCGAGTTCGGCGCAGAGGAAGTGATTTTATTTTTTTGGGGATCTTGAGTGATTGGCGGTTAGAGGGATCCCTTTGGAAGCCACTTTATACTCTTGAAAAATGATTATCTGTAAAAAATCCCAAAATGATTTTAGTTTTATTAACTTTTGTTTTATAATAACCATCTTCTCTATTGCAAAAAAAAATTTAGTTCCAATAATACTATGAACAGGTCTAATCTTAAGGCCCTTTATATTTAAATACTTTTTTAACTAAATTTAAATTAAAATGTATATATTTTTCCTTATTTAAAAAATTTAAAAAAGTTATTAATGTATTTGATAACATACTCAAATCTTGCAAAATAACAAGAACACAATAAACACTCAATTCAATATGATTTTCTTATATTTTTTTAAATTAAGTATATGTTAAATCTGTTAAAAAAGAAAGGGTGGACAAATTTTTCATTTATATTTGTTTTCTTTTTATGTAGTGAAAATCCCACAATTTTTTGTTGGCTGAGCTGTGCTTGACCGAACGAAAGGCAAGAGTTAATGAAGTCTTTAATTAAGTTGTTTTTATATAACCGACATGTATGGTTGTATGCAAAATGCGAGTGTGATACTTGTGTGTGGTAAGGCTTCGGTTGTTGAGGCCAAAACTATTAGCAGTATGTCGGGAAAATAAACCAAAAGTTCGAGAGTAATGAGATCGTAACGGAGCAGATTTCACTGAAAGTCTAATGGTGGGGGGCTAATCTAACATGTGCATCTGGAAATTGAGGTTAGGGGGAGCAGGGCGTAAACCCTTGTACCGCCTCATTTTTCACAAAACATTTTGCCGTCGCTGACCTTTTTCTGGTCTATATACTCCGTTTTTCATCCATTCCCCCTTAATCGACCATTTTATCTCTCCCAGAGATTTGTAAATTTGTGAAGCATTTTTTAATGTGCTTAATTTTATTCCAGCTTCTGCCGCTGGATTCGGTGTTTCCCTGTTTCGGTTTGAACATGTGTTGCTGGACAAACTTTTTCATTGTTGCCGTACATCACACAAGCGGCTTTATTGGTCAGCAGGGGTTAAAGTAGCCGAGTTAGTTTGTCAGCCTTGGCATTAAAACCCATGCACCCCACCGTTCGCCTCATTTCCATCTGGCAGAGCTGCTGCGCCGCGGGTTATTTGTTGGGTTCAAAGTTCGGGTCTAGTCTGGTCGCCCTGGGATCGAGGATCGGAGATTGGGGGTTGGGATTGCGGGTCCGAGTTCGGAACCGGGTCTGGTTCTGTGGGTCCCCGGGTGGGCGATGCCCCCATGCTGTCGCACCATTTTTCGCTTATTTAGTGGTCTAATGGGGCATAAGTGTGATTTGGCCAGTGTTTAATGAGCTTTTCACTTTTTCCCTAGCAGTTTGAATTATTTTATTTCCATTTTGGATTTGAAGCATAAGTTGGTTGACTGAATGATAGTGCCACTTGGGAAGGAGCTAAATATTTTTGTTATTTTATTTTGTCTGGTTCTGTGGGTCCCCGGGTGGGCGATGCCCCCATGCTGTCGCACCATTTTTCGCTTATTTAGTGGTCTAATGGGGCATAAGTGTGATTTGGCCAGTGTTTAATGAGCTTTTCACTTTTTCCCTAGCAGTTTGAATTATTTTATTTCCATTTTGGATTTGAAGCATAAGTTGGTTGACTGAATGATAGTGCCACTTGGGAAGGAGCTAAATATTTTTGTTATTTTATATTAGCTATGAATCTGTTTTGTACATGCAGTTTTTTATTTTTATTTTTTTTATTCATTTATTTAAATTATTCATTAGTTCAGTATTCAAGCTATCAAAAAGGTTTCCGAAACAAAAAAAATCCATTTAAAATTATAACATAAGCACTTTTTTCTAATCGATGCTTTTGTTATGGGCAAGATTTTGTCAGCTTATAGAAATGTTTATATGTTTATGTTTTAGTAATGCCGATATGGCTAACAAAACATAATAAATGGATATATGGTCAATAAAATGCACATGCACTATTGAATATAATCAATGCATAAATTATTCCATATAGTCAAGTAGACTATATCCGACTATCTTAACCAAAATGAAGTCTCCCAGCATCTATAATTCTAATTGACATTTCCATATACCGTCCAATATAACTACCAAGATAAATCCACGTGTTTGTTTAAGCATAATCAAACCAAACTCCCCAACCATCTTTAATTCAAATTAAAGTTGGCATTAACGTATGATAAGCCTAATATATCGACCAAGATAAATAGCATGAAAATCAAAAATTCTATCAAATTTCGGCATCCCCTCCTGCATTCACTTTGAGCCACCTCAATGAGAACAGACTGAGCCACGACCCACTTGGCCGTACTCGTATCTACTTGGCCCAAAAGTGCTGCTGCGTGTCCGGAGCAGAAAAGCAGCCCGCAACCTATCACAACATTTACTAAAGTACGTAACTCGACTCGAATCCAGACGCGACTTGGAATCGGGAATCGAGAATCGAGAATCGGACTCTGGGCACTGCGCTCTGGGTTTTTGGGCATGGACATGGGCATGGGCTGTTACCAGAACAAAAGTAGTAGGTCAGTGGGAAATGTGTGGCCAAGAGAGATATTCGTCAAAGGGAAAATGGCTCAGTGGAAGAGAAAGAGACATTCCTGAACTCGGAGCTTTTGCGAGTATTTCGAATTCGAACTGAAAATGTCCCACAAAAGTGGGAATTGGTCCCAAGAAAAGCAAACGCTGGGAAATGTTAGGATTTCCTTAATGTTAACTAAAAGGCACGGCGACCACAACAAAGAATGTTAACATTCAGATAAAAAACATAGTTTAAGTAGACCCACAAAAATAGGAGAACATAATTTCAAATTCTTAATTGTCATAAAGATTTTGATTGGGCCAAAAAACCTAATTTACCTAATAAAATTAAATATAATTGCTGGTTACCTTGAAATTATAGACCTTATTAAGTCTATGAATACTTAAACATTTTATTTAAGTGTTAAGTGTTTAAGTGTTTTTCCAGAG